GCGCCGTGCCCGGGGGCCGGGCAGCACAGGCCGGGGCTGAGGGACGCGCGCGGGCCTGGTTTCGGCACCGCGGAAATTCGTTAATTAAAGAAAAAGGACCCAATTTACCCGGAGGATCTCGTCTTCTGCCTCAGCCGGCGCCGCCGTTGCGCTCGGAGCAGCCGGGCGAGGAGGAGGAGGAGGAGGACGCCCTCCATAGGTTGAGCTTCGAGCCAAGCTTCGTCTTTAAAAAGCGTAGCGGGAAAGCGCTGGTGCATTGGGAAAGGAAAGGGACCGTGTTTTAGGCCGAGGGTTTTTCTCCCCGGGCGAACGGGGAAAAAACGGGATTGTACTTTTCATATGTGTCTTTATTATTGTTTCTGGCTCTGCCTTCACTCGCGGTCTATAAAGCCTCTGAGCACGGTTTGTAAGGCGTGGCGGGACCGCGTCGCTCCAGGATGCGGCGATGTGATTTAGTTTTTACCGGGTGGCGCTTACCATCTACGACTCCATCGGCGCATCGAAGGGCTGGAAGGGACCGTCAGGTCCAGCCCCCTGCGCTAGGCAGGAAAGGCAACCTGAAGGGCTGGTGGGAGGATGGGAAAAGGGAGGGAATTTGGGGGTGTTTGTCCCCTTGGTTTTGGGGGGGAAAAAAAAAAAGCAAATCATTGGAAAAAGGTGCAGAGGGTTTAATCTGTTAACGTCACGCTGCGTGTGGCAGTTCTGGTACCGTGTTCAGCCTCGCTTTTCGTATCTGTGTCGATACGTGTAATTTCGTGGAACAGACGAGTCCAGTGGTATTTGATGGGATTTTAGACTTCATTGCGCGCACAAAACGCTCCTGCCCAGCCCAGTGGGCGAGCACGCGTTTGCGTTCGTGAGCCGCGGTCACTGCTGCTGTTGTTCTTGCACCGAGATTGTTCCTGTTTCTTCCTAGATGAGCAACAATACTAATAAGAGAGCACCAACCACAGCAACGCAGAGACTTAAACAGGACTACCTTCGAATTAAAAAAGATCCAGTGCCTTATATTTGTGCTGAACCTCTCCCATCAAATATCCTTGAATGGTAAGAATCGGAGCAAATTAGTCTTCAGACAAGCATGGAGAGACCCAGGCCTTCCAGGTCGTCTCTTCCCCTCGCTCTTCGTTTTGTGTTGGCGTTTTCCTTGGTGAGAGAGGTGCGAGCACCTACTCTGGACTCCTCTAAGAGTCAATTGGACGTTTATCTTGCTGGGATCCTGTGACCCTTACTGACTTCCTGCCCTTGGGGCGGGGGACTGGACTCGATAATCTTCCGCGGTCCCTTCCAGCCCGAATGTCTATGAAATCTATGAGAGGTGGTAAAAGGGGGAGGTGTTTTAGATATGAAGCTGCTTAACTAAAGGAGTAAACACATGCGTGATTTGCTTTGTTTTCCCTTGGAAACTTGATGGTTCTCAGTGGGCTGGATTTGTACCTCTAAAGCAAACTTCTTTTGCTTCCTTTAGGCACTATGTTGTACGAGGACCTGAAATGACTCCGTATGAAGGTGAATATTAGCTCATGGCCAAAGCGCACATGTACTGCTTGTGGCTATAACGGTTGTTATACATCTGTATCTGTCTGCTGACTAAAAAGCGCCTCTCCATGCAATGATTTGCTTCACTTTTAGAACTAACCTTGGCCCGTGACTTTCATGATGCCTCTTGAGATGCGATAGTATTAGCATTATCCTCTAATGATTTCTGTTGTATCAAGTGTTTCTAACAAAGACAGCAGTTTGTATGTTTGAGGGTGTTAGGATGATTAGTTTTGATGTTTTCATTTTACATATGCACCAAACACCTTTACATTTTATTTTATGCTTTATAACTGTTTCAGAAAAAAATGTTTCTGAGTACAAAACAAATCATTGATGTTTTTCTTTATGTAACGCAGGTGGCTATTATCATGGGAAACTAATTTTCCCCAGAGAATTTCCCTTTAAACCTCCTAGTATTTATATGATAACTCCTAATGGAAGGTTTAAGTGTAACACAAGGTAAGGATTTTTTTCTAACACTTGTGCCATTAACACCTTTTTAAAACATGTTTAAATGTGTAAACTGTTCCTCTTTATTAACGGCAAGGAATTAAATGCATTGGTTGTTTTGTTTTTGAAGGTTATGTCTTTCAATCACTGATTTCCATCCTGATACATGGAATCCAGCTTGGTCAGTCTCCACAATCTTGACAGGCCTCCTTAGTTTTATGGTGGAAAAGGGCCCCACATTGGGGAGCATAGAAACCTCAGAGTTCACAGTAAGCACTTAATGATATTATGTTGGGTTTTTTTTTCAGGTCAGTGTGTGTTGTTCATGGACCGATGGTTAGAGCAGAAGCCTGGGAACCATTAGTTCTGGGTTCTAAAGCTAGCTCTACCATTGTCTGGTCATAAAGGAGGGGGGCAGAAGAGAGGTTGTTTAAAAGAACCTAGGGTCAAGGATCACAGGTGGAAAATGCATGCAATGCCTCAGTGCCACAGTTTCTGGCTGCAAAGTTAAATGTTTCAAATTGGCTATTTTTTTACATTAATAGGTGGATGGAAATTCAGTGGTATCTTGAATAAGTGAGCCTCAGATTGCAGGGAGGGATTTTATAAAGTGTTTTTCTCTTGCACCCTGGATTCTCTGTAAAATGTAGCTACTGCCTGTATTAGCATATTGATGAGAGTGCCTCCCCAAAATGGCATAGTTGGGTAGATGCAAACTATGGACAAACATTCAGATTAAAATAAGGAGTCCTGAAGAGTTGGGTTTAGAATGCCATTAGTGGTGAATCCATATTCAGAAATATTAGAAACTTAGTAGGTTAGTGCCTTGCAATATTCTCACTTGAAATAACCCGGTGCTTTAAGGTTTAAAGTAATGTGTTTTGAAATTTTTATTTCCAAGCTGATATTTTCTCCTTTGTTGCCTTGACAGAAAAGACAACTTGCTGCACAGAGCTTAGCGTTTAATTTAAAAGATAAAGTCTTCTGTGAGCTGTTCCCTGAAGTGGTGGAGGTAAGAAGGTTCATTTGACTTGCCTCATTTTTATACCCTGTGTTATACATAAGCAGATAGTGCAAATTAACTGGCCAAAGGCTTGCAGGATTCTAGTAAATCTTGTGGTCTACCTGCTTAGGCCTGAAGATTAGTGCCACTTTCCTTTTACTCCCCAGCTTATTGGGCATACCTTTCGCAGAGCTCCAGCCTTGTGAATATCCTGGTGTCCAGTTTGTCCTCTTCAGGGATGTGTGAATGGTGAAGCAAATGGACCCAGACTTTGTACAGGCTTCCTAAAACAAACATTCTTTAATTTTAGGGAGCATAAGATATTTATTTTTACATGGATCAAGGTAAAAATGATGATGAAATACCTACATACTATATGGCATTTGATTAGTCCTCTTGAATCAAAGTGTCTCTCTCTTTTCCCTCCTTTCTCTCTCTGGTTAACTTCCTTTAACGTTTCTTGGTCATGCACTGAACCCCGCCCCACCCCTTTGTTCCTCTTTTCTCCTCTGTCTCCAGCTTCCCTTATCTGAATCTGTAAATGGCATTACTGAAACACAGTTCCTTTGTTTGGCTTTTGGAGAAAATAAATTCCCTCAACTTCCGCAGAAATATTGGGGGAAAAAACTTGTTTCCCTGGGTTTCATCACCTGCATTGCTGTTGGACGGTGTCCTGTAACTTTTGAGAGGGAGAGGGGTTGTGACACTTGCTAGTGTCCGTAGTTGAGGGCTGGAGTTATCCATCAAATTCATAATCTCAAATGGAATTCATAAATTGTACACAGGTAGTCCCAGTCATCAGCCGAATTACTGCCGGTTGATGCAGATGCTGGAGAAGTGGGAAAATATGCAGGAAGCCCTTTTTTTTTTTTTTACTGTGCTCATACCAGAGTATTTCAGAGCATAAAATGAGGCCAGCTAATGCTATTAGCAGCACTCATAGTGCTGGAGGGAATATTTGTGAGCCATAGTAGTAATCAGTGAATTAGTAGCTCTAGGACCTTCATAATAGTTTTTGAAGCAGCACATCAAAGGGATCCTGACTTCAGAAATGGTTTACCTGTGGTTTCTATTACATCCATATTCATTCAGACCTAGAGTTGGTAGGATTTTGACAGGTAGCTGTCTGAAGTCATGGCCCGCCCTATTTAGCTCTGTTCTCTCTACTGAAGAAAACAATGGATCTGTTCCTCTCCAGGGGTCAAAATTCTAAAATTGTCTCTGTGGGTATTGTGATAGCTTGGTTGTCCCAGACGCATATACTTTTGGAGCATACATAAGTATTTTAACATATATAAAAAAATAAAATGTTATATATAATAAATATATATATTATTGTACCCGAGTATGTAGCCCTGAGACAAGGATCTCAGGATTTTGTTTTCTTCCATTTTAATCTTTTGAGAATTGCTGGTTTATTCATCATTTTTAAGAGGTACCTAAGTGCACTTTCCCACTCAAGGGTCTATACAGTGAAATTCATCCCATTTAAAAAAAAAAAAAAATTAAAATCAGCATTTGACCTGGTGCTCAGCCAGTGTACTGCTGAACGCTAAAAGCCAGATATACTTTTTGTAAATGGCTCGTCAGGTGTTGTAGTTACTGTCTACAAACACTTACGATTTAAGATGTAGGTTTCTAGGGTTGTGCAAATGGATTTAATGCAGTTTGTATTAAAAAGCAGATTTGAATTAAATGCTTTGCCAGAGTTGTCAGCAGCCAAGCTCCTTAGACTAAAGTCATTTCAAGGATATATATTGAAATGGGACACTTTCTGCCCGAATCTGTTCTTTGCGATGATTAGACTTTAGTAACACACAAGGAATCTTTCAGAACCTTTCATCTACTTCATTTACATTGGTTCCTTTTATTTATGTATTTATTTTCATTCCAGGAAATCAAACAAAAACAGAAAGCACAAGAAGAGCTCAATAATAGACCTCCAACCCTTCCGCTACCAGATGTTGTCCCCGATGGGGAAGCACACTATGGTCAAAACGGGGTACCACTTCTTAATGGGCATGTACCACTGGCAGCTGCCAATCATCCAGATCTCCAACAGGCCAACCGTAACCATGGACTCTTAGGAGGAGCTTTGGCGAACTTGTTTGTTATAGTTGGTTTTGCAGCCTTTGCCTACACAGTCAAGTATGTACTGAGAAGCATAGCGCAAGAATGAGGAACATTACAGAAATCCAAGACCAAATTAGTGGTAGTTGCAGAATGAGTGGGACTCTTTGGGCATCAGACTTTGACACTGGGATAAATATTTGTGCTACCAGGATGCAGGTAAAATACTGGTTGGCTCATGGGTTTAGTTTGAAGCACGTGCAGTTTGTCAGAAAGGAGAAAAAAAAAAAGACGTTCTGCTCTCAATTCCTGTTGTCCTCACTACAGTTCAGTAGTGACTCACTGGCAAGTCAAAGCATTATTGATGAGACGTGGCATTTTTAGTGCTTTGATTTTTATAGCACTTACCCATTCTCTTTTCAGAAATTAAAAACCTTTTAAGGAAATAAGGCTTTTTATGAGATTGAACAATTTTTAAAATGATATTTGAAGACGCATCATATGTTCTACGTGAAACTTAGCTGGGAATTTCATTGCAAAGGGTCAGGGTGTATACATTTGGAATGAGTAAAATGCAAGTTTCCTCACTATTTTGGAAGGGCCTGGTTTATTGTGAACATCTGTGCTACAGAAAGTAGCTGGTACATTTTATAAAATAGAATGGACATCATTGCATATCTAGTCGATACTAGTGATTAGATTAATTGGAAAGGAACGCTGAGCGTGTTGGTTAAATGTGTTTTCAAAATCGTCACGGTAAAACTTAAGAAGGTTCAATTTGGGCAAAGGGAAGCGCAATTGCCAGCCTTTAAAGGCTGTTGGCCAGCAAAAAGCATTAATTAGTCTTGGTGTTTTTTGCATTTATTTAGTAAAAATTATGGTTTTTACATTTTGGAAGTTCTTGTCATTTAAGTGAAACAAGCTATTTTATTTTTGACCACAAGGTGCCACTGTTCAGTTTAAGATTAGTCTGCAAAGAATGAAGAGTTTGTTACATTTTCAGAAGAAACATCTCTGGATTTCTTGTATTTGGGTGTTTTTGGTAAGTGAAATGGCATTACCCTGAGGCTGTAAAGAGGCTGACTACCAAACCAGCTTCTTACAAGACAAGTGGATTCTTCTGAAAGGCCACTCACTACAGTAGACTTGTACTCCATACATGCAGTCAGCACTGCTTACCTTGACTGACCCTATTTTCAAACTCCATTACCAAAAAAAACCTTAACTGTAAGAGGCTTTTTGTTTTGTCTGAATTTTATCCTTTTTTTGCTTCTATTACATTAGTTTTGCTATTGCCCCATCAGCTGACTAACAGTTAAATTCCATTGGATGGTAATGAGGTTATGATTATATAAATATGCACTAAAACTACTAGTGTAGTTTGACAATCTGAAATGTTACTTTTACAGCTCATACC